GGATCTCTGGGAGGTACTGTGCCTTGGTAAGCAGTGAAAGTCATGGTAGCATAAAAGGGAACAAAAGCTGACACAAAGGCAACATCATTTCCACCCTTTTTTGGCAGCACAAAGGAGACATAAGATGATGTCTGTTTTCACCCTTAAAATATTACTACATACCTCAATGTGAGAGGGGCAGTGAAAGCCCCTCTAAGGGGTCCCAGACCCCCACCCCATGCACCCTGGTACTCACCACAGGGATCCTGAAAAGCGGCAGCCAGGAGGAATCACGGATGTTGGCCCTGCAATTCAGGAGCTGCCTACAGCTGCGGATCAGTGAGGGACGTGGGCAGAGCCTCCAGAAACCGCAGGCTGCTCAAATAGCACCCGGGAAAATAGCTGGCCAGTGGCGAATGGCGGGAGGAGAGGACACCAGTGGGGAAAGAAGAAGACGCTGACCCAGACATGCTGGCAGAGGAAGAAGAGAACGCCGACCCAGAGACGCTGGTGGAAGGAGAAGAGGATGTCAACCCAGAAATGCTAGCGGCGAGGAGGAAGATTGCCCAGCTGAAGGGAAGAGAGGGGGAGCCGAGGGCCCTGACACAGCAGGTGGGAAGCTCTAACCAGGGGAGACGAGCATCTCCCAGGGCGACACCACAGCCTCTTTGGGGAACTGAGGTACGGAGGCAGGAGGCACCAGCAGGGAGCAGTTACCCCACATGGGGGGCATGGCAGGGAGGCATGAGCAACCCAGCATGGGAACCACGCACCCTTTCAAGCTGGGGAAGACTGGGAGTGACTCCAGGTCAGCTGGGGGCCCATGCTGGCCAAACTGAGGAGCCGGACCAGGGTGGGGCACAGGACGGCAGCCCGCCTCCATAGTTACCTGGGGTGCAGGGACAAGTGGGTCCCTCATCCATTCCTTCAAGTTTCTTTGTTTCTTTGGACTATAAAAGGGGCACTGGGAGATGAAATCCCACGGGAGCCCTCCAGTGGAGATCAGGGTGTTGATTTCTGTTGAGTTCACCAGAAGTCCTAGCTAGCCCAAGACCGGACTGGCTTATATGCCCTAACCGGCCTGAAGTCAAAGAACTGGCTGTGGTGAAGGGTGAACTGACCAGGAAGGCCCGACCTACTCTGAGGCGGGTGAGCCAAGCGAAGACCAGGAAGGCCCGACCTACTCTGAGGCGGGGGAGCCAAGCGGGGAGGAAAAGTCATCCCAGAGGGATGCCTGCAGAGTGTAGTATTCATCCGGGCCATGGATGTGGTAAGGGTGGGGTAAAGGGGAGGTTTTGGAGCCCCACAAAGCAAGAACAGGGTTGAGGCATCTTCATCCCCGGGGGGCCACCTGAAGGGAACTGCCTCGCCAACAAGAACATTGAAGTCATGGCGAGTAAGGGCAGCACCCATACCACCCAGCTGGCATCCGAGCTCAAACCTCACCCTGACATTGCTTGGGGGCAAGGCGCCCAGCAAGAGAAGGCCGAAGCCTTACAACACCTTCCAGCGACACTCAGAAATAGGGCTTTAGTGAGAAATGCACTTTTATTCTGGGTCTTGTAATTCTATAATAGTGGAAACAGAAAACTACATTTTAAGTTGGAGAAAGTAAAACTATGGAAGGAAAGCTGAATATGCTAAATCTTGTTTGCTCACTATATTATCTGGCCTGCTTCTTTAATTATTTGGATGAGCAAGAGCTGGCTCAGAATTTGTACTCGTTAGAGACTCAAAATTACTTTTGTGCTCTCCTTGGTAATTACCTCCTCCTTATGCTGGTGAAAGAATATTTTACATCTACAGCTTGAGTATGACCAATTTATACATTCTGATCACATGCACAGGAAAAAGATACAAAGATACTTTATAGATAGGATTTCTATGCCTCTTACCTTCCAACTCCAAAGAGACACTGCTATAGAAATTGAAACCCTACTTCTAGCAGCAGAACCAGTGGCACCAGCAGGGCTGGGGGGACTCTGGGGGGGAGTGAGTGGCGGCAGCAGCAGGGTTGTGGGGCTGGAGTTATGTAGAACTCATAATGGACTCAGTGAAAATAACGTCACTACAAAGAAAAACCCAGCCTGACAATAGGTGGGCACAAATGAGAATACAGTGTGCCATGAAAAAGGTAACATTTACAGGGATTAACATTAATGATTTATCTGAAGGCAGCAAGAGATGTCCCAATCAGAATTTCATTTTAGGTATTTTGTCCTTCACTGTGAGAAATCTTTGGCCTAGACAGTCTGCTGCCTAGTCTACAATTTAAGATTGCTGAACTTTGACTGAACTTTGTCTATTTTTACTCGTTAAAGAGAAGCTATGACTTTTATTTCCAAAACAAGATATGATTAAGTGAATGATTCCCATGTGATCACATTCTCTCTTGCAGGAGGCACCAGTAGGTTCTGGTGCTTCTTGTCCTTGTATTACATGTTCCTATATCCTAGAATATCTTGTAGCAGCTCATAGGAGCTGCCATTCCCAAAGTGAGAAACAAAGCAGTAAGGATTTCATGGCATCTGAAATGTTTGTGAGCGTAGCCCTACTTAGTGAGCATGGCCCTACATAGTGTTAGAGAAACTGTACAGTAAAGAATTCCACAGAGCTGTAGAGAGGAGAAAGTGTAGAAGAGTTCTGGTTTAGCAAAATGTCATCTTAAAAATAGTGAAGGTTTCACAAGATATTTGAAGGCACATATAATTACAACAAAAACTGTACTGGTTCCAGATCTTAGTCCAAATGTTTGCTGTAAACAAAAGGTCATTTCCACAGGCAGGAAAGTCTCTCTCATATCTGTTGAATACTGGATGGATGAAGCAAAAAAATCCTGAAGTATGAGGTCTATTGAGGACTGGATATGCTGAGACACAAGTGTAACTATCAGTAGTATGACTTGTGGTGAGGAAGGGGGCACTAACCCAGGTACCAACTTAAAGGGGGCCTAAGATTGGTGGCTACTCCTGCCACTGGCCTGGCCACTACTACTGCCAAGGTTGCAAGAACTGCCTGTTATGCCTAGTGGCTAAGACCCCAACCTCTCCAACTTAAGGAGCTTGTCGTTTACTTTGAAGGGGAAAATGATTTTTGCCAGTTTGCAGTCCTGCTAATTTTTTGCTGGTGGAGTTCAGTAGCTATTTCTCTCCCTTGCTTTTCCTTGTTTTAAGTCCATTAACAGATATTGAAGAGAGGAAAAAGAGTTCTTTCTCCTCTACTGCAGGCATAAAGTAGGTGACTGAAACATTATGATAGTCAGTGTTAATGACAGGGCTACAAATGCCCTTCAGTGCATAAACAGTAGGGCTGCATGAAGCTTCGATCCCTGATTCGATTCAGTAGAGATTCAGCTCGATTTGGCAGCCAAATTTCTGAATCCGAATGGAATCAGAGGACCCTTTAATCTCTCCAAATTGAATCAGAACCCTCTGAATCGATTAGGAGAGATTCGGAGATTCGGACATAGACACAGCTTTAAATATTTTTTCTACATACCTCTAGGTAGCAGGTGGCTCATGAATGCTGCAATGCTGGGGTGCATGGAGGGTCCCACAGAAGTGCAGGGGGCTCCTCAGCATGCTCAACAGCAGACCCAGAAGTGGACCAGAAGCACTTCCAGTCCACTTCCGGGTCTGCCAGAGAGTGCGCTGGGGGGCTCCCCCATGCCCTCCCCCAGCTCGGCAACTGGTGCCTCCCGGGTCTGGGGGGGCACCCGGGGTCCCCCCGTGGCTGATCACTGAGGTGGGGGGGGGGCCCTGCTTACTTTCTGGTGGACCTGGAATTGGACCGGAAGCACTTCTGGTATACTTCTGGGTTCACTGCCGAGCAAGTGGAGGGCCCCCGTGCACTCCTGTGGGATGCTCCATCTGCCTCAGCATTACAGTGATCACAAGCTGCACTGGTACCTCAAGTTATGTAGAAAAAACATTTAAAGCTGTATCTATGTCCAAATCACTGATTCTCCAGATCAGCATCGAATCTTCAGATTCGGATTCAGCCAAATTGAATCAGGGACAGTGATCCAAATCAACTAATTGAATTACTGTCCCTGATTCTTTCTGAATATGAATTGAATAGGGCCCACTTCGCACACCCCTAATAAACAGCTAGCTCTTGAAGAAGTCTGTTCTGTCAGCTGTAATGCAGGTTGATTTGGGAGCCCATCTTATCAGCAAGGAAGTTTTAGTCTTCTGTGTGACTGTTATGACTTATACCCACACAAAGGAATTGGCTGTTACAGGGTGCCATAACACAGAAGGATGAAGGCTCAGAAGCTAAAAGCAGGGCTAGCAATGACAATAGCAGAGAGAGTTTCATATTGAGGAATTGTGGTTTAGGCAGCAGAAGTGGGTTCAGATCCATGCTCTGTCACAGAAGTCCTGGCTTGGGTGAGTCACTTAATACTGTACAGTGGGATTCATTCTCCCTGTCCCCTGTAAGGCAAATGGACAAGAGCACAGCAGTAGAGGTATAAGGAGGTGCTTGAGTACCCTGGGTGGCAGCCATGCTTGGAGCAGTGTCAGTGGTTGTACTGCTACCAGTGTGATGGCAGCAATTGGTTGGTGTCTGGCTTGCCCCCTCCCCCCCCCCCACACACTTTGTTATCCTAGTGCATTGAGGCATAATTAATAGTTTCATAGGATCATAGGAAAGTAGTGCTGGAAGTTCATGAAGTAATCCAGATCCCTCCTCAAGACAGTTCATGATCATAAACCTTCATGATGCAGCTTTTTTCTATCTGTTGCAAGGATACAAGTAATAGCAGCAAAAGTGAGAAACAAAACTAAATCTGGGTGATTCTAGGTCCAGAATCACCCAGAGAGTGATGAATAAGAATTGTTTCTGAAAAAGCAAGGATTTGTCTCCAAGCCAACAGTGTTCAGATGAGAAGAGAAATTGAGCCATGTATGTTGTGAGAGAAACTTTGTTAAAAGGGCTAAAGGAAAAATACAAGAGAAAAGTAGAGGCAGTGTTATGAAAATGCAAGCTCAAAGGCAAAGAGATCTGCTACAGTAAAAGGTCTGAAGGAAATAAATGAGGACAGCATTTTTAAAAAGTAATCAGCAGTTTTTAAAACTTTTAAAGATTTTGTTTTGAGAAAAAGGAAAGGAAAAGTAGGAAGGGAAAAGGCAGAGCAAAAGACCATGAAGGTTAAGAAATTGTGAACTGACTCAAATGTATAGCAGTGAGGGGAGACAGAGTGGAATGTGGTGTCCTTCCTAGTCAGAGTCCGTGTAACATAGCATCACACACAGAGGCATAGTGGATAAGGGCCTAGGACTAGCTCCAGAGACTGTAAGTAGGAAACACTCTGACCTGAGCTCATTTTATATTTAAGGTTTCATGTGCTCAGCAACTTTCTCTGTAATATTATTTAATAGTTCCTATCCCCAGAAAAAAAACAACAAATGAATCTCTAACCACTGAGGCCTGGTTTTGCAGAGAAATGGGTCAGTAAGTGAAAGAGGAATTTAAGACCTTGCCCAAGATTGGTTGATTTTAATATTTATACTCTCATAATTTGATTTGCAAAGTTCTAAATGAAACAACCAATTTTCTTTTTTAAATGAGCAACTAGTTTTATAGTAATTGTGCAAAAAAATAATTTTTTTTGCTCTTTAGATTTTGGTAATGCTGACAGTGTGCTAATAATTTTCTAAACACACACAAAAAAGTCACTTTTAGAATTAATGAGAAAATTCATCAATAAATAGACTATATACCAGGCATAAAATATATTTGCCTATCCTTACTTGATGAGGCTGAAAATGAAAAAAGCCACTAATACAATATTTATTCACATACCAGAAGCCCTTTTTCCCCAGAAATTAGTCCTCCCAAATTGGTGTCTGTGGCTAAGTACAGATGGTCAAAAAGCCCGAGGCTGAATTGATTCAATCTTCGCAGGTTTGTCTAAGCTGCATGAACTGAACTGATAAGCAAGTGAACAGACATTCACTTTCAATTCTGGATATGCAGCCACATGCCTGCAGTGGCCCAGGCCAGAGGCCAGGGTGCGCTAGAGAGCATCTCCCTGGTAGCTGGAGTAGACAGCATGGTTAGCCTGCCTACTCTGTGAGGGGAGGTTTTGGGGGGAGGTGCAAAGCATCCTGGGATGCTAGGGGATTATAAGTGGATTTAAAACTGGATGAGATCTGGGACAGAATTTCAATAATTCAATTTAACCTAAATCAGTTAAGTCTGATACTACATCCATCCAAGTTTATCTTAAACCCATTTGGAAAGCAATTTATATGCACTGAACTTCTGTTATGTTACAGAGTTGAACCGGTTTCTAATAACTTATACCAGTTTGTGTAATTTCTGTCCATAATAAAAATGACAAGAGCTTTTTAAACAGTACTATCCCGATTCAGTTTGCCATATAATACCTATTTTCTATTAAATGAAAGCAAATGAAGACTTGCATTAAATTTGTTCCTTCAGTAGTATGGTATAGTAACCTGTTAGGAAGCTTTTGGTAATTTGCTAAAAATTATTCACTCCTAACTTCTTGGCAGAATACTTTCAGAATTTAAACACTAAATTATAAAGAATGTCCTAAAATGCCTAAAAAGGGAAGCTGGCCAATAGAAAGAATGCAATAAAGGTTAGAGGATAAATAGTAGCTCTGAGAGGTCCTATTGCATTAAAAACATGGATGAAAGAGAGACTTTTTAAAAGCAGAGATTGGTAAATAAATCTCAAAAAGAATAGCTTGTAGGCGGGGAATCTGTTGCATGGCAAGTGGGTAAGCAGCTACACCTGATCATGTTTTCTGTGTCACAGGTATGCTGGTTCTGATTTGTTTAATCCTGCTAAGACTAGTTTAAGAATCCAGTGAGTTCTAGAACTGAAGGCATTCTTCACCTTCTCAGCTTCTGTTTCCTAAGAATTTATTCTTCTCCCAACAAAATCCATGGCCATGGGTTCTGCTGACTACACTTGGAGCAGCAGCAAGCCAGCAAGCGCTCATTTTCTTTGTATTTACCTTGTGAGGTGT